CCCCATTCTGCAATTGGTTATTCAGTACCAAGCAGTCAGTCCTGAGACCATATACATACAGGGAGCATTATGTGGACTGAGCAGCTGTATTTAGGAATTTGAATATATGTGCATATATTCATAGACAGAGATATTTCAGAGATAGCAAGGAGTAAATGGGAAGGGTTGGAGAGGGGAAAAGGGGGGGAAATCGTATAAATATATTAGAAATTTTAAAATATGATATAAAAATTACCATCTCAGAGCAATTCTTAGTTTAAACATACTTTCTCAGGAATAGTATCTTTGACTCTCCCAAGAGTAAAATTCCCTAACTTCATTATGTCTATACTATCTATTTGGTTTAGTGAATGGACTATTTCAATATGCCCACTGTTCCTAGTATACTATAAAATTTCTGTAGACTATTAAAGCATCTCTCTTGCTCATTGCTATGCCCACAACTTAGCACACAGATGATGAAAATAGGAGGTAGAGTATCTAGCATGCATGAAAGCCTGAGTTTGATCTCCAGCATAATGGCAGCACGTGTCATCCTAGCACTCAGGAGTTGAAAGCAAGGTCAAGGTCATCTTTGACTACATTTCAAGTTTAATGACAACCTATCTCCAAAATCTAGAGAAGGTAAGACTAGGTGTGGTGGTACACACCTTTAATCTAGGACTTGGGAGGCAGACATAGGCAGATTTGTTAGTTTATGCTAGTATAGTCTACAAATTGAGTCCAGGGCAGCCTTGTCTCAAAAGAGGGGAGAGGGATGGGGGAGAAAGACAGATGAAGGGAGAAGGAGGAGGAGGAAGAGAAACAATGTTATACAATTAATTATGGAAATAAAAATGAAAAGCCAGGCACTGTAGCTTGCATCTGTAGTCTCAGCACTTTAGAAGCTAAGGCAGAAGGATTGCTATGAGTCTGAATCAGCCTGGGAGACATAGGAAGACCCTGTCTCAAAAGACAAAGCAACAAAGAAACTTATAACTACAGTTCATGGGTTCAATTGAACAAGATTCTGAAATAGAAAAGTCTGGCCTAGGAAGGTAAGTCCAAGACTCTTTGTAATCAATCAATGCCAAATATATAGAAGGCTTTTGGCGGTATCTTACCAATTACTGATAGGTAGAATATAACAGACCTCAACTAGAAACTAAAACTAGAGAACTGGTGTGTGTATGGTGTTAGTCAGGAAATTATAACCTCTTTGAATGGATAACCAAACATCAACATGTTTCCTTAATAAGCATGTAGTAGGAAGCTGAGTATATTAGCATTTTTAAATTAATTAAATCTACATCCAAGGTAGATTTGCAAGAAAGAATGCTGCATCAATCTTGTTTCACAGTAGTCACTGTTGTTTATAATTACATAAAATCATTGTGTAATTATTTAAATGATTTATTTAAATACCCCACATTAATATCAGAGCCTCAAATACAAGCAATCTTTCATTAAAGCAACAAAAGACACAGCCCCCTTTGACACTTCACTGGAACTCACAAAAATGGATTAGTTAAAAACAAGATAGCATGTCCAAATATATGAGTGAACAGTGCAGAATTAAAAACTAAAGATACTTTAGAACTATACTTGCAAAGACCAGAAGAAAAACAAAACATAGATTAATGTCACCAGTAGTATGCTCTGTTTTAAGGATTTTGACACAGTACCAGACAATTTACTTTGTAAACTTTGTTAATTTTTGAGACAAGGTCTCCACAGGAATGTTAAATCCTAAAACAGCTTGACAAGATGCTATCTTAAAGACAATGACAAAACAGCAAAGCAATTTCCTTTTCCAATAAGGCATACAAGCTTCCCTTTCTTAAGAAACTAGTTTTAGAAAAATATCTTGAAATTTGGGGGTTATCAAATGAAATATGATTTGTTCTTGCCCTCAGAAAACTAAGATAGGCTAAAAATTATGAGGAAATGTTACTAGGCAAAACCACACAGTCCCTATCCTCACAACACAGAAAGCAATTTAAACTAGCTATTCAGAAATTATAATTTCGAGATTTCAGAATCTGTATAGCAGCAAGAGAATGGACAAGGGTTTCAGATGCCACCTACCCTTGGAATTTTCACTGTTAAAGTTAGTTTTCTACTTTATCTGTATTAGTTTCCCTCCATTCTATACTTTTTTCTATAGCTATATAGTTTTTATTTGTATGTCATCAGTTTCTACTTATTGCAATTTAGCTTCTTTTTAATAGGATAAAAAAATTCCAAGAGTCATTTTAAATTTCATTTCTCCTTTGGACGATAATTCTCACAAATTAGCATAGTATCTGACTTTTAACTGCAACTGGGATTCTTTACTGCAATCCAGGAATATGATGGCTTGGAGCACTTCATTTCCTGTGTGCCAATTCTTTTAAGACTGTCTAATCAAGGGGCTGGAGAGATGGCTCAGAGGTTAAGAGCAGTGGCTGCTCTTCCAGAGGTCCCGAGTTAAGTTCCCAGCAACCACATAGTGACTCATAACCATCTATAATGAGACCTGGTGTTCTCTTCTGGTGTGCAGGGTACAGAAAAAACACTATTATCACCCCCCCCCCGCCAAAAAAAAGATTGTCTAATTGAATTAAGACTAAGGTAAAGACAAAGTCATCACCTGAATTAGAATAAAAGTCAAGCGCACTTACTATCTGTCCAATAGATATTCTCTTGCTCAAAAGTAAAGTTTGCTCTGTGTAGATACTTCAGTTGGAATTGTGATCTTTTTTTTTGCACTCCTAAACTTATTTCTAATATAATAGAAGAACAGCCAGTGCTCTTCACCACTGGGCCATCTATCTATCTCTCCAGTGCCCCACTTTCTATTTTTTTGTACAGAGTGTGTGCATATGTGTCCCCGTCCCATTTTGTTTTACTAGAGTTTCTTAACAGGATTTGGGTGAAAAACTATTTACAAGAGCAAGAGCTCTCTTCAATGGTTATACAGCTGTAAAAAATGTCTCTGCCTTCCCTAGTGACTATTAACAGCCTACAGATAAGATACTCAGGGAAGGGAGATGCCAGAGCGGAAAGATGCGAGTTGGTAGCTGGAATCTTGCCGGTAGGCCATGAGTCGCGTGGTAAAATATAAAATAATGGAAATGGGTTAATTCTAGATATTAAGAGCTAGCTAGAAATACGCTTAAGCTATTGGCCAAACAGTATTGAAAAACAAAACACAAACTCAGGGAAGGTGGGGCCTACTAAACTCCTCCCCCTTAGCTACTGTAAATACTCAGAAAGAGACAGGATATTGGCTAACATAACTGCAGCAGAATCAATAATGCTAATGCATAGACATCAACATGCTCCAAAAACGTAGTTCTACCTCCCTCAAGTACTTCCTTCTGCTTTTAAATTCTTTCTATTTCCTCTTGGGTTATAAGTTATAAGGTTGTCCCAATTATGGCTGAGCATTCAACATATCCTTGTTCTTATAACAATGATCAATTAGGAATCTCAGAAATTACCAATGGCCATTGTAAAAATACACTTTTCTAAAATGGTCATTTATTTTCTTAACTGTTAAGTATAAAGAGCTCAATTTTAATTTTAATAAGACAAAACAAAAAGCATAAATGTCTTGATTCCATACTTCCACACGTAAAGTCATTTCTCCCTATTAGCCACTAATATAATAATGATATATAATAATAATGATCATTTCCCATTTTCCCCCTTCTCCCTACATTACCCAGGTTAGGCAGTAACTCATAATCTTGACTCAGCACTCTGAGCGCTGGTATCACTGTATCTGAACTTCAATAGTCAACCTTTCACCTGTTTTTTGTTTAACTTAGTTTGGTTTAGTTTCCCTACTCTGCTTTTAGTTCTCCAAATTCTACGCACAGAATAATCATTATAAAATTTAGGTCTGGTTTGTGACACCTACCATAGGGCCTAAGTACTACCTGGAAGAGAACTACAGTTGTCCATGTCTGTTGAGTTTGTAAATAGGAAAAGAAAGAGTTATGGAATAAAGGGTAAATGAAAACCTTTGACTCCCTTCTAGAAGACTGGCAGAATTGTGGCAGAAATAGAATAAAATCTTGTTTTTACTATGCAAAATTTTTTTCCTAGTTAAGATTCTTGATCTGGCACACACACATATATAAATACATACACATATATAAAATATCAATCAATCAATAAAATTCTCAAAGATTCCTAAATTTAATAAAAAAACAATCGGCACAAAACAGAATAACAAACTTGCAAAGAAAATTCATTGCAAATGACCTTTAAAGACTACCAAAGCGCTAGGTGGTAGTAGTGCACACCTTTAATCATAGCATTCAGAAGACAGAGGTAGGCGAATCTTTGTGAGTTCAAGGCCAGCCTGGTCTACAGGGTAAGTTCCAAGACAGCCAGGGTGGTTACACAGAGAAACCCTACCTCAAAAAATGAGAGAGAGAAAGAAGGAGGTGGGGTAGAAGAGGGGACGGAGAGAAGGAGAGGGAGTGGAAAGGTGGAGGGAGGGAGGGAGAGAGAGAGAGGGAAAGAGACAGCAAGAGCGAAAATAAAGCAATAACTACAACAGGAAAGTGAACCTGCTATTTTGTGTTCTGAACCCACCACAGTATCTTTATGTCCAAGGTTCCACTGAATCTTAGATACTTCTGTATCAATTATCTATCACAGTCTCACGACCATAATATTAACTTATATATTCTTGCTGCTTTCAAAAGTCTACAATTGAAATCACCTTTAAAGCAATATAATGGTAATACAAAACCATGTATTATAATAAGAACATAGATAAACTATTAAAAGATATTAGAATGCAGTTTCAAATAAAATATACTTCATGCTAAAGGTTTAAGTGACTACAAGGGTGGGAAGAAACTGATTAACTTTGCTCTCACTGTACACTGCATCTAACTCAGCAAACTCTCACTCCAACAGCTTAGGTTTTTTATTATTGCCCGTTTTGCACATGTGGATATTATCCAGTTTGATTTTACTTAATATGATGTGATGTCATCAACAATTAGACAAGGACTTACACTGGTCACTCGACGGTAGATCTGCGCAGCATTTTGGCACTCTGAGTATGGATATTCAGATGTAGCCATCTCAAGCATGCACATCCCAAAAGCATAAACATCAACGGATTCGTCATATTTTTCCTCATACATCTCAGGAGCCATGAACTCCGGAGTACCTTAAATTAAAACAACGATTCAGACTCAACTGAATAGTAGCTGTAGATGTTACCTACCAGAGGTTTCAAAAAGCAAAGAGGTTTACCTGTCAGAGGGGGAAAAATGAAAGGAGATGAAGAAGAAAAAGAAAAGGGGAAGAGGAAGGAAATCAGTCTGTTCCACCAAATATCCTATAGAAGATCTTCCATTGTAAGGCCTTTAAAACAGGTACATGATTACTTAAACTGTTGAAATTGTGTTTCCACTATTACCATAGAACTTTGACTAAAAGATACATTAGCATTATAGTGAAAACAAATAAAAAGGTAAGAAAAGAAAAAAAACTAGCAGAGGGGATATTATAAGATAGTAGTGATAAAAAGATCAGATACTTGTCTGCCTTCTACCACATGGCAGTTGTATTCACAACTAGCTTCTTGCCATTAATAATTTTTTAAGGAGACCTTGCTGGGCAGGAGAGGGGAACCTCTGTATTCAATATTTTTAAGAATAATAAAATGTAATCACTGCCAAGGCCACTCATCAGAGCCTCTTCTTCACATACTTACCCTCCATCCCACAATGCACAAATAAGACTAATGCAGATACAGGAAATATAATGAGGAGCATCCTACAGGTGAAAAACAAATGCACATACACATACAACAGATACAGAACTCAAATACACACTGGTTTGTGACACAGTATGTATGTGTATGTATGCATATAGTCCTACAAAATAAGATTTTACAATGATTTCAGGATCTTTAACTTCCAATTTCAGAACAAGTATGTACATTATGATTTAATAAACAAAGGAAATAAGCACTCCATTGGACCAGTGATTATAAGATGCCAAAGACAATCAAATGCTTCCTGACAAGAAAAAAAAAAAGGCAATTTGGCTTCAAAAATATTTTTCTTGTTAATATATTGTGTGAAAATGTATAAACAGCATTCAAATTCATAACTTCACAATATTCCATTGAGAACATTGGTTTTGTTTTGTTCTTTATGTTAAAAAATGCAAGTTATAGGTGTGCCATGCTGTTCTTATTGTATTTAGGATTCTGGCCTGCTTAATCATGAATGCGCTTTTAAAGTCATACCCTACGGGAGAGCAGAATAGAATGTGAACTGAAAATTTTTAAATTTCAGAGAGATAAACCTTATCAAAATAGTCATTATTTCTTCCAGTTGTGACTAATATACAGCTAAAAAGTCTGAAAGGTCACTCTTATTATTTAGACAATTTACTAATTGCCAATAGGGTTAATTTTGCTCTCCTTACAGCAATGTCTGGAAACATTTTTGGTTATAACAATCAGGAGTAAATAGACAAAATATGCTACAAATATTTTGGGGTAGAATTCAGGTATGCTATGAAATAATTCTACAATATACAAGAAAACCCTACAAAAAAACTGTCTAGACCCACCTATCCAGTTTACTGAGGCCGAGAAACCTGATTTTGATATATCATTCATTCTAAAAGTTGAGAGTAAAGAAAAGTTGATGAGACCGGCTTTTCACAGTACAACCCCATATACTCCTATTTTCAAATCAAAATTTTACAGCCATGTATTCTTATATTTTTGGTTGTGAGCCTAGCCTTTAACAGCTAAGTCATCTCTCCAGCCCTAGCCGGGTATTCTTGAAGATATAGCTAACGAACATTTCTGAAACTAAACTACATATAAACTCCACTTACTTTATGAAAAAAGAAACATTACTTCTACCATATAAGTATGAATATAAAATATTAACAGAATAACTCAGTAAGACTGTTAACAAGAAAAGTTGTATCAACAAAGTCCACCTTACTCCTCTCTATGTAACTTTATAAAAAATCAATAGTCTTCAAAATGATTTTAGAAGCTTAAATATTAAAAAATCTTCATTTCATATTTAAGTAGATCATTAAGTTAATGATATGAATTTCTGAAGGCTTATTTTGTGTCAGAAAAGATATGACAAGGTCAGGTTTCTAAGGAAAAGCTATGTCAAAAGGTCAAACTGGCTCCAAAGCACACTTGGAAACATACCTATCACACTCTTGGCAAAAGAAGCCCGCTTTAGAGTTGCCAGACCAAGGTCTCCAATCTTGACTGAGCCTGTAGGGCCAGTGATAAAGATGTTGTCACATTTAAGGTCCCGGTGAATAATTGGTGGCGTTCGTGTGTGCAAAAACTGAAGTCCTTTAAGGATTTGCCGACACCAGCTTCTTAGAACTTTGATTTTCATCACTTTGAACCTTTTTAAGTATCTGGAAAAGGCAAAGTAAACCAAACAAGTTATCAATGATATAAGCTTTCTGCTTTGAAGAATTCAATTAAATTCTAATATACTATGGCAGAAAGGAATATCAAATTTAGAATATTGAGACTCAGTAACTTTAAGGGTTAGTAATACTTTTAGTAAGGTTAAAGGGGCTGAGATAAGTTTAAAATGAAATTCTATTTAAAGACAAGAAATAAGTCTTTAAAATATTTTTATAGTTGAGTAATAAACTCTTATTGAAAATATTTATTTTTATGTGTGACTATAAGTATGTGCATGTGGAGTAGGGGATTACATGCACCTATGCCATATGTAGAAGTCAAAAGAGACAGTTGAATTCCTTGGAACTGAAGCTACAGGTGTTTACCAGTTGCCTGGCTTGTTACTTGGGTGCTGGTATCTGAGTTCTTGTCCTCAAGACTGTGCAGCAAGTGATCTTAATTATTTTTCTGGCTAGTAGTTTGTTTTTGAAAGGATCTATGTAGGCCAGGTTAGCTTCAAACTTGCAATTCTTCTGCATCCTTCTTTCATTTTTTGTATGTATGTATGTATGTATGTATGTATGTATGTATGTATGTATGTATGTGAGAATGGGTCTCATGTAACCCAGTGAGGCTACAAACGTGCTATACAACTAAAGATGATCTTTAACTCTTGATCCTACTGTCTCTGCTTCCTAAGGTTAGAACTTTAAGTATGCACCACCCTGCCCAGTTTTTGCAGTGCTAGGGATAGAACCCAGCACTAAGCAAACACTTTACCAACTGAGTACCCCAGTTCTTGGAGAAACTAATTAGCAGTTGGTATGAAAATTCCTATAACAGAAAAAAAAAGTATACTTTAAAATTAGTTTACTATTAATATAACTAAAAGAATTCTGCTTCTAGAAAATAATAGAGTGGCTTCTACTGGTCAAAGTATTCCTAAACTGGTTTTAAAGAAAGGAAAATGGACTGGCAAGATGGCTTCCAAGGTAAAAAAGAGCAGACCAATTCCTCCAAATTGTGTACCACAACACGTGCTGCCCATATACACACAAACACAAAAGCAAATAAACAAATGTAATTTAATAATTTTAAAATAAAAAGATTGAAGAACAAAATAAAATCATTCAAAGTGATTTCACATGAGAATAAAGGAAAAACAATGAGTAAGGAGTCTCTGTATGTATATATGTATGCATGTATGTGTGTACATGCATGTACACGTGGAAAGAAAGGTCAACTTTGAATGTCATTTCATCCATCTTGTATTTTAAGTCAGGGTCTTTAACTGATCTTATCAAGTAGGCTAGACCAACTGGCTAGGAAGCCCCAAGGACTCATCTGATTCCATTATTGAAGTAAAGCAGATAATCATGCCTTGCTTTTTATCACGTGGGCTTTATAAAGACTGAACTCAGGTCTTCATGCTTTCCTGCTCAGTGGGTAAAGGTAGTTGCTGCATGCCTTCTGACAATCTCCATGACTCACAAGAGATAATGGATTCCCATTAAGTATTCTTTGATCTCCATATGCATGCCATGACACGTGTATGTGTTTATACACATAAGTAAATTAATAATTTTTAGAAAGGTCTTATGTAGTAAATGGAACAAATTTTGGACATGGTGTAATAAAGAACAGTTCTATGAGTACAGTTCAATGGTGGTAAATAAAGGAATGGTGAGGTTAGAGAGATGCTTCAGTGGTTAAGAACACTTGTTAAACACTTCCAAAAGACCTAAGTTCAGTTCCCAGCATCCTTGCCAGGCAGCTCATAACCACCTTAACTCCAGCTTCAAGGTATCCAACACCCTGTCATGATCGTTATGAGCACCTGCATATGGGTAGTTTGCACATGCATGCATGCACACACACAAAGACATACAGACACACAAAGTAAACCTTTGTTTTTTTTGAAGATGGAAAAGGAGGGCAGATAACCTGGTGCACGAACCTAATGAGTTAAGTTTGATTTCTGGAATTCATGGTGGAAGGAAAGCAGTATATGCTGGATTTAGTCTTCTGACCTCTACACTTGTGCCATGGCATGCATATGGACTAGTACACACACATTGTTCTCATTCATATTCTAATTTATTCTCATATTCTCGCTCCTCTCCACCCATCTCTCTTTCCTCCCCATACCCATAATAATAAAATACACTTTAAAAAGGAAAGAAAGAGACCAGCTCAACAAGAGGGAAATCATGCCATCATGCCTAGTACTGGAAACCTAGTCAACTACCTAGAACTAATGAAGATGTGGATATTGGAGGAGAGTCTATAACTGCCACTAAATTTAGTACACTAAATTGTACTAAAGCAATACACTCCCTAACTACATTCTAAATTTGTATTCTTATACCCATAGAAGTGCAGTTCTTATCCTTCAATAAGGAAAGCTCTCTTAGTAACAGACAGAGACCATTATTGCAGACCACAACTGATGAGAATGCAGAGTTGTAACGTCCAGACGTAACTGATACACATCTACAACACAACTACTGCACCTAAGGCTCAAGATCATTGTGGAAGAAGGGGCAGAAAGATTTTAAGAGCTGGAGAACAGGGAGTTTGTGTGTTTACTATAAATATAAGAAGCTGACCTGAACAAAAACATCAATAGATAGGCTAATAAGGGAGGGAGAAAGTCTCTACTCTAAACAAAGGCCTATAAACAATTAAGGAATGCTGAGTGGGAAAATTAGTCTTTCCCTGGAAAAGGGACACAAATAGGTTCTCAAATACAAAATGTTCAGCCCTGAAAACATATACAGTAAGTAACATTATAAAGACTGAGTAGGTACTTATATACTTTGGAATATGTGTACACACACACACACATAAAAACTGGAGAGGAGGCGGCCATGAATTTGAAAGAGAATCAAGGAGAACAGGTACCATAGGAGGGCTTAGAGGGAGGAAATGGGAAGGGGGTGAAAAATTATATTATATTCTCAAAAAATAAAATAGTTAAGAAGGGGAGGAAGAACTGGGTGGTGGCAGCTCACGCTTTTAATTCCAGCACTCCGGATGCAGAGGCAGGCCAATTTGAGTTCCAGGACAGTCTGGTCTACAGAGAGAAACAAAACAAAAAAGAAAAGAAGAAGAAGAAAGAAGAAAGAAGGAAAAAGGAGAAAGGAAAAGAAAGAAGAAAAGAAGAAGGAAGAAAGAAGAAAGAAAGAAGGAAGAAAGAAGAAAAGAGAAAGAAGAAAGGATGAGGAGGAAGAAGAAGGAGGAGGAGAAGGAGGAAGAAGAAGATGGGGAGGGGAGGGGAGGGGGAAGGAATGGGGGAGGAGGAAGAAGAAGGGAGGAGGGAGGAAGAGATTCCAGAAAGCAGTCACAGAAGAAAAGTTCTCAATTTGAATATTTTCTATCCAAATCTCCAGTTAATTGATGAAATATGTACATATGCAACAGAATCCACAAGATGACTAAAGTGAAGAGGATGGTACAAGAGTCTCTTGATATCTATCATTACAAAGAAGATATTGTTTGAAAAATGCATTGATATGCACATTTTATTTGTACATGTGCAGGGTGAGGAGAGGAAAAGCATCTACTAATATTTTCATATTTGCACCTTTAAAGTACATGTACTTAATGGAGAAAAATATGTATTTTGTGAAGGGCTACAAAATATACATGTATCGATAAAAAAAATCACAGTATGAAAACAAGTATTACATAGGAAACATGTTTTACATCAAAGTGTACAATAATAGCAATAAACTTGTGAAGAGGTGAGGATACAGTAATCATTTCTTTTAAAAATTCTACACACACCAGATCTGGAGCTTTCAGAAAAACTAAGAGTAGAACTAAAATAAAATAACTCTACATTTGGAAAAGGCAAGTTGTTTTTAATTTTTTAATGTTTTTAAATTTTTTATGTTTAAATTTTTTATGATTGGTGTTTTGACATTCAATGTGTCTGTGCATCAAGTGTATGCCTGGTGTCCACACTGGCCAGAATAGGGTGTCTGATGCTCTGAAGATTAGACAGTTGTGAGCCATCATGTGCCACTAGGACTTGAACCAGGGTCCTTTGGAAGAGAACCAATTCCCTTAACTGTTGAGCTACTTCTCTAAACCCTAATTACTTTTAATCCTTAAAACCTGTTTTGGAAGCCACTTGTGGTGGCAAACATCTTTAATCCCAGTACTCAGGAGGCAGAGACAGACAGATCTCTCTATGAGGTGAAGGTCAGCCTGGTCTACAAAGTAAGTTCCAGGACTAGATAGGGTTGTTACATAGACAAACTCTGTCTTGAAAAATAAACAAACAAATAAAAAATAAAACAAACAAACAAACAAAAAACCTGTTTTGGGGGAGAGGTTGGGTGACTATAAACAAGATATGATATATAAAATTATCTAAGAATAAAAATGTTATTAAAAAATACTCTATGTACCAAGAATGAGTTATCTGTAGAGTTGCTAGCCACTGGGGTCCCACAGACCCCACCTAAACATTACTATTGCCACTGTTCTAGGTTACCCTCCTGAAACTGATGGCAAGAACCTTTAGTGAAAACATCACATACTTGTGTAAAAGAACATGGAGAAATCAAGGCAGAAATTTCATCTCTACAGACAAGTTCTCATAGTGCTGGAAGGTGCTAGGCATGCTACTGAGGAGTGAAAGTAATTGACAGTCCTGCTCAGTTGAGAACTCTGTGAGCTATAATTAGACCTGTCCTGGCAAGATATACCATTGATATAATATTGGCACAAATGTTATGGGAGTAAGCAGACACTTTATGGTTGGACTTAAGACAGAACATATGCCTGGTACTATCATGGCTACTAGGTTATACACTCTAGGTGAAAACCTGCTACTATTATTCTATGAAATGGACATAGTATTAGAATGACTCCTAATGGCTTATCATTATACCTATATACTAGTGTATCTATCAATATTCAAGAAAAGCTTCTTTTTTTGCAGCAGATAGTGATTAATACAGACTGACAACTGGTCAAGATGTAGAATTAGATT